TTTGGCCAAAATTAAGCTTAATTCGGGCCATTATTCGAAATAACGCTCATGAGCGTTATTACGCGAAAATACGGTATATACTGTATATTCCAATAAAAAAAGCTATACTAAAGTTCCTTAGCAATATCATGTAATAATTCTTATAATATTGTAACTTTTAATTTTCTTCTTGCTTATCATGCAATGTTAAATTTTACCGGGCTAGAAAAGAAACAAAACTTAATATTACGCAATCAAGTTCCTTACGACATGAAGAGTATGCAAAATATATTCCTACAAAAGATGCTAAATCAAAATATGTTACAAAATTATGAATCTACAACTTTTATTTCTGCAAAAAATGTTAAAGAAATCGGCAATCAGAATCAGAAATCATCGATTTCTTTTTTTTTTTGGTCTGCAAATTTCACATTTTTTTGCAAACCGCAATAATTTGTTGACATAAATAAAAAGAAATTACTTAATCATTAGACAAAGTGATTTTTTTTACGTGTAGCATTTGGTTAATTATTAGGTTTGTATAAGATCGGTCTTCGCAAAGACCGGGACCAGACGGTAAAAGACTGAGGACCGAATAATTCTCAGCCCTCGATCCGGAATCGTCCGGTCTTGTCCTGATTATGGTCTGACGACGACTAATACTACGGATAAAATAGCTGATAAATTATTAATATAAACAACGCAAATAATAATAATAATAAAACTTTCATAACCCTTTCTAACCATGAACGATAACAGAAATTTCTTGCTTCCATCTTCCAACATTTCTCAGTAAATGTTGTTGTTTCGAACCTTAATAAAATTGCCGACCAAAAAATAAAAAAAAATACAAGAGCTAGATTAGAAGATGAATCTGCAAGAGCGATTATATGTTTAAAAAAGTTGGCTTCAAAAAGGAATTTGCAAAATTGGATAGTTAAACATCCCTGTGCTCATTAAATTAGCTTCACATATAAAATACATATTCATATTTACATTGCTGTATTTTTTATAATATAAATTTTTAAAAATTTGACCGCTAATAAATAAATTTTAATGCTATCGCTATGTATTAAAAAATTACAAGTCGTGAGACGATTCTAGACCGAAAAGCCACATTATAAAGTCTTATAAGGGCTGGGACTGACCGGGACGGCCCTAGATTTGTACACTTAATTCAGATTTTAAAATCGATACGTATTCATTACTTTGAAATGTTAGATATACAAGGTGAAATCTTCGATTTGATCATTCAAGAAATCAATGATTTTGATAGTCTATTTAACCAAAAATTTTGTTGCAAATTGTACAAAGCTATTGTAGTCATTTAAATATATGTTTGATACAGAAGAATGCTTAATTGGACTGAGCGGGGGAGAGCTTAGTGGAAGGCCTTTCCATGCTGTTCTAAATTGAAGCTCCCGCCCCTGCAATTACAATGATAAATTTTGATTTTGGTAATTAATCTATCTATAAAAGTAGACTAATAATAATTTATTATATTAAAGTCTTCTAAAAAATGCAAAAAGAATTTACATGCCAGAACAAAGGTTGCAAGCAATGATGATAGAAAAAAAGATTAGCTTCAATGATACCTGAAGAACAATAAGACAGCTCAAACGGCAAAATATTAACGAGAATACAATTTAGCATGACAACAAATAAATAACAAAGATTATATACTAAACGTAATATTATTGTATATTAACTTAAAAAGATGTCACAGCATTGCCTATATTCATTTTCAAACAGACAATATGTGAGACTGATTCTATCTGCATCAAATACAGTAGTTTTACAATGGTATCATTTAACAAGTATATATGTTACGCGCCATTTTTCAATTTATGTTGACTGTCAATCGACATATCAAGGTCTTTACAAATGATTGAGATGAACCGGCATATATTTTTTCATTCAACTTTCCAGTTTTCAATATTATAAACCATTTGGATATTTTTTCGAAATATAATATGAATTACCCTGGGTACAAATCAATAGTCAGCACTTTTCGGTGTGTTATTTTTCAATTTCACCTCTTGAAAAATGACTTGGGCGATTCTTTAATGAAGTCAATGAGGCTAAGGGTATTATCAAGCAACTCCCTCAATTGTGATATTATAATGATTGAGATGATGCAACAAGTAAATGTAACTCCTTCTTGGCAACACCTCAACAGACAAATGCAAATTTGTGCCAATTTCTCCTTTTGCAGCTTTACGAATATTCACATGTTGTTTACAGCAACAATATTCACAGCTTTTTGCTCCTTTAACTTTGAACAAAACCAACGCCGAAAATAATGAAGCATTTGTTTATTAAAAAAATTTTAATAAAATTAAAATATAATTATTATTGACGTAAAAGTTAGGAAATAACAATTGTTAGCAAATTTTGCTCTTTGAATTTCCTGAAATTTTTATTAGCAATAAGTGTTTCGAATATAAAAAGCAACAGAATAATTTTTTGACGATTATAATTTCGCCAAAGTTCTATGCCGTAAAGCAAAGTGCTTGAACATTAATAAGCAGTTTTGGCCAATCAAAGTTAACTCTGAAAAAAAAGATGGTCTGCGCCTCCAGACTTTTTTCAGTGAAGCGGCAACTCACTTGATCAATTTTTTCAGCCCCCGACTATTTAAATTTTATTTCGATCATTCGATTTAGACGCTTGAGAACACGCTTATTCTTATATTAAACGAATATTTTACGCACGCAAGTACTTGTTAATTCGATTTTAAAATGTTCAGTTCAGGCACAACTGAAGATGTCTCAACTAGCAAAAGTATTTCCAAAGACAGAGATTTCCCAGACGATCAAAGAGGCTTAGAAAATCAAGATGACAATTTTCTAACACCTGAATTGAAGGAGCTACTTAAAAAGTTAAATCCAAGAAGGAAGAGACGTTATAATGAAATAAAGTCCACTGAAGCAAAAATTGCTTACTTAGAAGGGATTAAGTCAGAGCGTGAACTAGGAGTAAGTTTATTTTAAAATCATATATTTTCATTATTGTTCTTATTTATTGGATTTTTTTTTTTTAAAACCGGGTTAGTTTCTTCGTCGTTTATTCTTTCCATATCTTTAAGAACTTCAAATTAGCTCAATATTCAATGTGATTAGCGTACTCATTACCATTGTTATCACTGCCACTGCAAAATATATTTAGATGAAAGTTCTACTCAAATTTTTATCGTTACCATGTATTGCGTTATATTTGAAACCCAAAATTTTATTTTACTTGTTGAGAGAAGCTTTTTTTCGTTTATCATTATTTCCAACATTTATTGGAATAATTTTAGGAATATTTGTTATTTCATCAGCTTTAGCAAAATCATGGATAAGGATTGGTGCTTCAATTTCATCCCTGTTTCTTGAAATTCATCTAAGATACTATTAACGTAATCATACTGCTTTTTATTGCACAGAAAAAAAATACATCAATGATCAATTAAATGCTTCAACTCGATATCACTTTTCGAATTATACTTTTACTGCTTACTGTCTTCATCTTGATATTACCACTGTGAAAATCTGCACGATTTCATTTCTACAAGGCGACACCCCTATGCTTCATCAAATGCTATGTCATTGATTGGTTCTATCTACTTCAATTAATACGGGATAAATCTATTATTAAACGGCGAATAATATTTATACATAATTTTTAAGGATAATCTTGTTAAACAAAAATATTTACCTAATATATCAATACGAATATTACTTTATGAGAATGCCCAAAAGCAAATTTTACAAATTACAATACATAGTTAACATCAAAATAAGTTGATACATACAAAGCATGACCATATGCAATTCTCATACGAAGTTGCTCATGAATTAATTCTTGGTTGAGATTATTTTTTGTACGAATTTGCTGAGGACTAATAATGATACAAAAAGTTTACCTGTCATGGAATCGCATACAATATTTGATTTTCCAAGTTTAAGTAAGCCATGGGCAAGTCTCAAATAGAGTTCTGTATCTACACCATTGATGATGTGAATAATGTTAAAATTTAGTTCGTTTTCGGAGAATTCTTCAGAATTTTACGCGTAGTTTTAGTATTACATTAGCATCATCGAAAAACATCTATAGCAATTTATATGTTTATATAAAAGTAAATTGACGATATATTTGTTGGTACTGTCATTTGACAAATCAAACAATATTAACTATGGGGAAAAAAAAGAAAGGGATCCACGAAAATCACATCATAGACACCACATTTCACCGACAATTATTCATCGACAAGTTCGTTTTACCGACAGTTTAATTCACCGAAGCTATTTCGCCTACAAGTTTTTTTAAAAAATTACACTAACTTTAACTCTATTTCTAACCTAACTCTAATGATATTGATTAGAGTTACTTTGTCTGTAAAATGAGCTTTAGTGAAATAAACTGTCGGTGAAATGAACTTATCGGCAAGTAATTGTCAGTGGAATGTAGTGTCTACGAAGTGATTGTCGGTGAGTTGATCGGATCCCAAAAGAAAGTCCCTGCGAGTTGTCTTTGGTTTAATGATGGAGCATTACTATATGAGGAACACGCGAATTGAGCTTGATCCGACAATGGACTGTCATTACTTGTTAGTGCCTTAACTGTTTGAATATCAACAAAATGCATTCGAGACCACTCTAGTGATAAAAAGTTAATTAGTGTAATTATACGAAATTATCAATATAAGAAATTAATTTAATATTTCTGGAAATTCTCTGATGCAAGCATTCACAGAAACTTTGCGATCTCACATATATGTTGAACATATGTAACAAACATTCAACTAAAATAACTGAAATCATCACAAAGTTATAAAAAAAAATAATAAATCTAGATGATTAACCCAGGCTAATCAATCTAAAAAAGCATTGAAAAACGGGAGCTTCGTTAAACATTACAATCAGAGTTAGCACAGACCGGTCAATGGTCAAGCTTGACCAGACCAGTTTGACCAGTTGGTCAAAGAGTTTAGTATTGGTCAAATTGGTCAAAGGATATTTAAATATATAGTATACATACACATATATATTTTTATATATATTTACTTTGTATACTAAATTTATTTATTAATAGACTAGGCTATTTGACCAATTTGACCAGACCATTTGACCAATTTGACAAGACCAGTTTGACCAGTGATTTGACCAACTCTGATTACAATGTAAAAAATATCAATATACAATGCACCGGTCCAGCAATAAAGTTTCGGCAACCTATCTGCTAGCTGATAGGTCACATATTGGTCACTGAAATCCAGTAGAAACTGCGTGATATGCGCCATGCCAATATCTTACCAATACTTGGCACATATCTGTGACCTATCAGCTTGGCACATATTGGCAAATTTTTGCAACCTATATATGAACTTTCTACAAAAGATATCAGCTAGTATATATTGACATTAATCTATATGATACTTACAAACATTAAGCGTAATATATAGATTTTTGCTCTTATATTTAGATTTTGGTTTGGTATTTTAAAGTTTCTATAGATTTTTATAGTTCAGCTTGGGTATCTGCTAGCTAATATCTCATTTTACTTAATGATACTTACAAAATTTAAATGTTTTACACTACATGTATACATATATATATAGGTTTCTGTATAGATTTTTGCTTGGATATTTAAAGTTTATATAGATTTTTGATAATTTGGCTTGGGTATCTGCTAGCTGATATTGCATTTTTACTTTATTATATTTAACTAGCACATTATCTTGTGGCAGCTTCACCACCTGATGTAATTGAGTATACATAGTATAAATGTCATATAATGTAGATCAGTTCGATTTTTATTTAAATAGGGTTTGATCAACTTATGTTTATATTATTTACAAGAGGCTTTAAAATTATTATTATATTAAGAGGTTAAGTTGTTTTTTTATTGTTTTATGATTTTTTTGAGGTTGGTAATTATGTAATACATTTTTTGAATATTATTAGTTTATGCTATGATGGAGTATTTTTAGTAGTTCACTGGCTTTTTAGAGATAAGTAATTTGTGGGTGTGTTTTATTTGATTATGTATATGTAAGTTTTATGAGTTTATAGGTAAGGTGTGTGTGATTTGTATTATGTTAGGGGTAGAATGTTAAGGAATGGTATTATCTGTTTAAAGGTAATAGTTCTTGAGCTTTTGATTCTAGTTGGTTATATTCATCAATCATCGATTAATCTGTAATGAATGCATCTCGATTTAGAGTATGTATTTTAACTTGTCCTATTTTGTATAACAGCTTAAGGCTATATAGGCTTGTCCAGCTTCAAAAATTTGATTATCTAGATTAAGACATACATCAGAGAGAGTCAATTTTTGTGTTTTATGAACCATGAGATGCTATTAAGATAGAAGTGGTGAGTATATTTGGTGAAAGAGATATTAATTATTGCTCTTTCAATACAGAAGCTAATATATATAAGGTTGGATTGTAAGTCAAGGTCTGTAACAGCACTTATGGTACCATTAGCTATTCCATATTTATATTGTGAGTTGTTTAAAAACATGACTCTTACGCCTGGTTGGATTCTAATTGTGTTAGATAGGTTAGTTTTTTTAGTAAGACCATAGTTTTTTGAATTATTAGGAAATATTCGTCTATCTATTATGTCAATACAATTGGAAATTAAAATTTTATTTTCACATGCAGGAATCAATGCGCAGATTGTTCTATTGATTAGTTCTGCAGTTTTACGATATTCTACTATATAAGTAGTGTTAAGAGGATATTTGTTTCAGATGATTGGATTGTTTCTTGTAATTTTTGAGTTAGCATATTCTATGTTTAGTCATAAATAATACCAAATCTTATTTTTTGTAGAAGGTTGTAGAAGCAAATATCATTACTTTGTCTTTGGGGTTCTTGAAGGAATAATAGGTAGAAGATTTTTCATATAAGAGATTGATATATAGGCAGAGCATTAACAGGAGGTAATTGAGCTAGGTCACCAACTAAAATAACATTAATACCTCCAAATGGATTGTTATTTCCATGTAAGTGTTCAAAGAATTTAGAGATAAATGTTAATAATGGGCCTAATACCATTGAGATTTCTTCAATGATAAGTGTGTTAATTAGGCGAAGAGTATCACAGTATTCTGAGTTATGAAATATAAGAGTATAAAAGCCTCTTTTATTTGAGACTATTTGAAGAGCAGAATGTATTGTTGTTTTACCAATGTTTTGAGCTGCTATTTCAGTAGAGGCTATTAATAAAAAATTATAACTGATTCTTTGAAAGTATTCTATTAGTACAAGAATAATAAAGGATTTTCTATTGCTAGCTGAGCCAGTAATGAAAAAGAATGGATAATATAAAGAGTCTCATTTATCTAAATAATTTGTTATTGTTTAATAATAGTAATATTGACTTGGTGTTAAATTAGTGATTATGTTTGTAGGTAATATACGAGATAATATTTTAAGTGAGTTTAATTGTGATTTTATAATATCAATGATATTATTTGTTGAGATATTTTGTAAGGAAGAAGTGAGTGTTTTAATTATTGTGTTAAATTGATCTTGGGTATAAATCGATTGATTTAATATAAATTCTGAGTTTTGTATAATTATTGATTAGTATATATTGGCAAATCGAGAAAAAAAGTGATCTCAGTAAGTCTGGTATTCTCCAAGTATTTCTTGTTCAGATTTGCAAGGAAATCTTAGTAATAATTGTTGATAGAAATAAGGTTCACTGTGATCAGGTCTTAAATATTGATATTGAGTAAGTATTTTATTATAGTCATCTACTTCTATAATCACATGTTTTGTATATTTAATAACTTTTTTTGAAAAATGTGTTTATAAAAAGGTTGTGCTTATATAAAAGTAGTTTTTTATATATTTACTAGTAATTTGTTTTTAAGTATAAAATGTGATAAAGAGGGTTTTTATATAATGTGATTATAGAGGGGTGACTATAGAGGGGGGTGACTGTATCATGTTTAATGACAAAGTTTTCTAATTAATCGTTATATATTGTTTTTCTAGTTCCTGTAGATCTAGTTGATTTGATTTCGTAAGTTTCAAAATAGGTTTTATATATTATGTTATCAAATTCAGAATTGTTTGAATGGGCAAAATATTTTTCTATTTTGTCAGACCAATAAGGATCATCATTGTTGGAGTTAATCATATATAGAGATAATATAGTTTTAGTTCGAATGCTTGGAGGATCTGTTGTTAAAAATTGTACTTGAATTGAAGAGTTTATAATGTATTCTCCAAGTAGTAAGAACATTATTTCCATTGAACCTATTCATCAAGCATGAATATATTCTCAATAGTATAATTGTTCATGAATGTTAAATAGATAAGTTGGTTCAGATTTGCTTATATACTTAGTTATGTATTGAGCAAGTCTTTTATTAGTGACATATTGGGCATTTATATGAGCATTCTATATTATTAAGGTTGGTGCATGGTATGGAACTATCTATTGGTCTTCAGTGGTTAGACATTGATATGTATATTTGTAGTTATTTGAATCATAGTATGTATGTTCAGCAAAAGGGCAAGAGAATCCTTTTTTACATCTTGAATTAGTTGGAGCGGACCACCACATTTAGAGTTGCAGGTATGTATTTGTAGGGTATTAACTTTTTAATACAGTTCAGGTTCTAGAGTTAGATTTGGAAGAGTTGATTTGATAGTATTTAAATTTATTATATTAGTTATATTAGATAATATTCAATAGACACCATGTAGATGAGCAGCACCATGGTTTTGAAACTCTATTCTATCAAAGAAATATTTATATATTCCTTATTCACTAATATCAGGATTTTTTCAAACAAATTTTTTGAGGTTTTATAATTTATTTATAAAATGCAAAGTTGTATGTAGTGGTCTATTAGTTGGCAATGGATTTTTGTTATTAGTATTAATGGGAATATCATAAAGGTAATACTATGTATCTTTAGCTATCAATAAGGTAATAAATATAGTTGAGAGTCCTAACTTACGAATTATTGTATTTAGATATAGAGTTTTTTGTTGAAAATAAGTATCACCTGTGCGAATGAATAATGGAATAGGTGAAGTAATAGTTTCATTATAGTGCCAATTATCTGTGTAGGTGCTTTGTTCAATAACTTCAATTGCAGTAAGTAAACGATTTGTATTGTTAGGATCATATTGACGAATTAATCTTGTGTGTTTTGAAAGTTTCTAAGTTTTTCTAGTTAAGATATACCCAGGCTAGCCAATATTGATATAAGTGAAAATGGGGATCTATTGAAAGTAAATGTTGTTTGATATATTTTTCAAAGTGTCATATTGATATTGTAAATTATTTAGTTGATCATTTATTTTTCAATAATAACCATGGCCATCTGGATACAAATCAGGAAAAAGCAATGGTTCAAGATAAGGATCATTTAAAAAAATAGGGATTCTGTTAAATGTATTATTTGTTAAGAAACCAGCCATAAGATGTTAATAATAAGCATCTTCATTATAAACTTCAGAAAAAAAATTTTGATGTGGAACTACTATTTCACCTTGTTGTATTTCAGGTATATTTTCATTATTAAATAAATAAGTAGCTAAAGATAGAGATAAATGAGTAGATAAGTTATGAGGAAGTATTTGGGAGTAGCTATGTAAATAAGGATTATTTTCTTTAAGCTAGTTGACTGCAGTTATTGGAGAATTATCTAGCCAAGGACTTGTTGATATATTAGTTGAGGGTTTTAAAAAGGCACCAAGTATACTAGAGTATAGACTTAAAGAGTGAAAATTTTGAGAATAGTTTATAGTGCCTACTAATGATTGGTATTCAGTGAAAGGATTTGCACTAAATGTGCAACCTAATGAACAATATAAAAAAATAGAAGATAAATATTAGCATTTTTGTAGAGGTACAAGGTCAATTTTAATAAGAACTAGAGAGAGATATGAAGAGTAATTTTGATTTGGATTTGACTTGCATGAAGAACATATAGCAATTTTATTTGGTGGTAGGACTGGATTTATTGCCAATTCAGTAGTAAAATAAGCAGTAGTAAGTAGGTAAATAGCATTTAGATCTTTTTGAATTTATATAGATTTTTCTGGATATATTAGTTTTGAGCAAATTGAGCAAGGAACACATGAAAATTGGCATAGAATTTCATTTTCAAATTTGTAAATAATTTGTTGCATTTTTTGGAAGATAATCCATAGCAAATATATAGAAGGTGTAGATAATATATTATTAACAGAAGAACTTATATTTTGTAAAACAGGTTGTGATAGATCATCAAAAGATAATATATCAATAATTTGTTCATTGGGTTTCAAAGAATGGATTTTGAAGGTTTGATATATATAGAATAACATAATAGAATAATTATAGATTTGTTAATATAATATATAGTTAAGTTAATAGGTTGTGAAGTATAGATATAAAATGTGCTAGTTGATAAAAGATATAATTATCAGTAAAAAAAGGTATATATATATAAGAGATTAAATTTTATTTAGAATTTATTTATTATCAGAAGACTTGTTAAAAATATAAAGAATCAAATAAAGTTTTTATATATTTTAGCAGCATATAAGCTTTGTAATATTTATAGTTTGGTTATTATTTTACTTTGTTTATTAAATTAAATTAGTTGAATTTTGGATATTTTATAGTAAACATTTATACAGATAAAGTCTAAATAATATAATAGCTAAATAGAGTATACTCATGTTTAAGATAAGTATATATAATTATATATGAATATATATGCATATATTTATAAATACCAAATAAGTAGTAAAGGCAATAAAGGCATAATTAGGTAAGTAGTACAAAATACTTAATGAAAAAATCCAAGTAACAATGGTAATGGTAAAAACATAAAGTACTAAATAAAGAAATTTAGACAGAAATGGTGAATTTGTCAAAAAAATATATTAGATAATATATTAAATTAATAAATAAGAGTTAAGTAATACCAGAAACTTATGCAATAAATACTAGGAAGGTAATGCAATGGAGTTACCAGGAACATAATGCAATGGAGTATATAGTTATATGGCAATCTAAATGGCATGTATCTGCAAAAAATCATATATGATTGGATAGTGCATCGAATGCTTTTAAATATCATAGCATTATATTATCACTTGGCTCTAGACTTGTAAATAAAAAATTGCTTTGTTGGTAATTATATATAAACTTATTGAATAAATGCATATGATAGATCATTCAAGCATAATTATGTGTTATTAAAATTAATTACTATCACTAACTGAAAATATAAATAAAAAAATAATTGTTTGTAATTTATAACTGTATTTAGTTATTTGACAACTATGTATATCATATAATCACTTTTCTTATTTTATTTTTTACTTTTAATATATTAGATCATATTTATGCACCTTTACCAGTTATCCTTTAATCACTTATGACTATTAAATGCTATCTTTGTATTACTAATTTAAATGCTGTACATACATACTCTTAGAAAATACTATTTAAGATTTAACGGTACATGTAGCTTTTTCATAAAATACCAAACCTGATTATACCTATCATTTCATCCTAATTGTAAAGGTATGATCTTTCGAATTTAAAATTAGGCTGAATCAGCTTCCTAATTTCAAATCAGACTAGCTATTTAATGAAAATCAATTTAGTAATCTTATACTAAACTGGTATAAGCGAAATGTCTAAATTACTAAATTATACAAATAAAACTTAGATAACAAAAAACGTTCACCATAGTTAACACCACGATAATTTAGATTATATTATTATTGAGTATACTTGTTATTAAATAAATAAATAAAAAACTATGAAGCAAATAAAAATTGTATTTATAATAACACTACTATAACGATATCTGTTTGCTTATAGTTTATTAAATATGTTTGCAAGTAGCTTAAATAAAATGTATATCAATGTTATGACATAAATAAAATTTCAAAATATAAAAGTTATATTATTATAATAAGTTAAGAACATTACTTAGTTATGATATAATATGATTAATATTACACGTATAACATATTATAATATACTTAACTTAATATAAAAGGTTTAAAATATAGTATAATACAACTCAACCTTCTATTATGTATCAAATTTTTTACAAATCTAATTCTAGTAATACCATCAGTCTAGTTACATTATGCCTAATACATAAAAACTTATTAATTATAAGTTTTTTACTTAACATAGTTCATATATAAAACAGTTTCATATTAAACTAAGTGTATATTTATTCTTCTTTTATTTACAATCAACATTTCTGGTTTTGTGCAATGATGTCACATAGCTATCTAGTTGTTAATAACTAAATTAGGCATATATATTAATAATGAGTAATAGTAGAGTAAGTGGTCAGGTGTTTTACGCTAAATGATTTATAAGCATAATGCAGTGCTATATTATTTGCTTACTATATAAGATTTTTAAAATTTTGTTAGTTAATTTATTAGTATAGTGATAATATAATTTTATAATAAAAATTATTTATTTTTAAAATGTTATAATTATTCTTTGCTATTATAATAAATATATTGTAGGTATAATATTATTATTATAGTTTACTTAATTTGAAAAATTAAAGTATATTGATTTAGTGAATATAGAAAACTTTATTTATATATAATATATTTTAATGTATATACAAGAAAAAAGGTTAATTATTGGTATGTATATTTGATTTGTATTTGCTAAATAATAATAATAAAGAGAAAAAAAAGCCTTTTCACATTATTTGAAAAGTAAAAAAAAAACTTTTTATATTATTTAAGAAGGAAAAAAAAAATTTAACCAATTTTAAAGAGTAGAAAGATCAGAATCTTCAGTATTTTTATCTTGATTTAGTGTCTTTTTGGCAAGATTAGTTGATCTTTTGAGAAAATATAAGACCTTGTTGTAGATATAGCTTTTCTTCACTTACTGCCTTTGACTCTTGAGACAATCATTCTTGTAACTTTTTTGAACTTGATTCATTTGTTGGGGGTTTATTCAATCTGCTTAACCAAGAGACATTAGTTAAACTTTTTGCATTAATTAGTTTTTAATATTTATAGAAGTTTATACCATGAATATGAACAATAAAAGCATCTTTATCAACTAAGAGTTCCCTATTCATAAAGAGAATGAAACCTTTTTTTGTTGAAATGGAAGTTGGAGTAAGATGTTGAGCTGACTTTGGGTGATAATATTATAGTTTAAGACTAGTATGATCTTGATTCATAAAGTTTTTTATTTTGACAATTAATATAATGTCATCTTGATCAGGATCATTTCATGGAGGTTTAAGCACAATAGCAGTCATGTTTATTAAAAGAGAAAACACAGACAAATCACTTGGATCAATAAAAAGTTGAACGATGTGATGCATAATAATCTAAAAAAAAATTATTTTTTTTTTAAAAAAAAAAGTACAAGTTCGCAGTTATTTATATCTATTATTGATATTAAACATGTCTTTAAAACAGGAAATTTTTTCCCAGTTTCATCTACATCTTCTATGAATCAAAATTTTCCAGATACTAGAAGTATGTCTTTAGGGGAAAAAGTAGCTAAAGTTGGGTCTGGGGTGTCATCATCTTGAGAATAAAACCTGACTAAGAGGATATTTAAAGGAGAAATGCTGTTTTTGAGATACATTATCCTAGCAGCCTTGACAATAGTAAGAGCCTTATTTGTTGTAGACTCTTGTCGGTCAGTAATATAATACATAGTTGTAATTGTTGATAGCATTTTTTTTTTAGTAAAAATTTAAAACACAATGAATATACAATATAGGTTCTTATTATAAGATATGATAATATATAAAAGAAAATATTGAAAAAAGTTACTTATTTTATATAGATCCATATACATTTTTTGAGAGTAACAATGAACCTAAAATAGAGGCTAGAACCGATTTTAAATATTCGAGTTTATCATATCAAAATTCAAGTTTATCACACCAAAATTTGAGTTTATTACATCAATTATTAATAATTCATGTGATAAACTCAAATTTTGGTGTGATAAACTCGAATTTTGATGTGATAAACTCGAATATTTAAAACTGGTTCCAACCTCTAATCTGAAATTAATTCTTAACCTTATAATATTATTTACAACACACAATTTCATATACAAACTACTTGTGCGTATTACTACTGTATCTTTTTACCATATATTTATTGAACATGTTTTTTATATATAAGACTATTTCAATAATATGTGTATATTTTATATAATCAAATAATATTTGATTTTTTTTTATATAACTTGTAAGCACCTTGTGATTAAACATATGATTAAAATTATTTAATATTCAAATGTTTCTGACTTTCATATTTTAGATTTGTAATAAAAAAAAAACTAAACATATATTTGTAAGAACAAAATAGAAGTAAAACAGGTATAAAACAGAAATCAATATAGTAATTAGTAGAGACAATCATATGGAATCAAACTCGGTAATTATTGGTAACATGTAACTTAATTAAAAATTAATATAAATCATTTTCTTATTATATAGATCGCAAATATTATCCCTTAATATGTAGACCAACGCAGGCAAATTTGCCTGCATTTTTGCACTTTTTTAGCTCTGATTTACTTTTTTAAAATGCTAAAATATTTAAATAAAACTTTGCACAATTA